AATTGCAGATAACTTTTTTACTATACTATGTAGCATGTTATATAAACAAGTAAAGAATGTTACAAAAGTAGTCAGATTGTTAGAAGTTATTAAAGTGGATAAAATTTACCAGAACATCTTCTGTAAGGCCCCACAGCTGGCGTACAATGGTAATTCTATCCTTTAATGATGGTATTTCCCCAAGTACATAAGACTACATGAAATATAACAAAAGAAAAAAAAAACATTTAACATAAGGTTCAAACATATTTTATAAAAATAAGATATATAGAAAGTAGCAGGTGCTTACAGCAATGACAAGGTCGTGTTTTCTTTCAGATTTGCTTATGTTTTGACTTAGTGATTGTATACTACCATAGCTTTGTATGAGTGGCAAATTCTTCAAATCTGGAGTGCATAAGAAAAGATTTTTATTTTTAAAGGAAATGAGAGTTTTAAGTTATTGATAATTTAATGTGAAGAGAATGAAGAATATTAGAAGATGTACCTTTTATAAGGCTTAAACCTGCTCGTTGCATAGACTGTGATGGCTCAACTATATTAACTCTTTCAAGAGAGTTTGGCCATACTTCACGCAATGCCCTGAATAATTTTTTAAAAACATTAAGTTATGCAATAAAATGAAAATTAAAAAAAAAAAAACAAAGAAACGTAGAACTTTTACTAATGTTATGTTCCAAAAGGAATCATTTGCCAAAATGTTCATAAGGATGAGTTCCCTAATTGAAACAAAACTAGTTCTCCAGAAATAATAACAAAATTAACTATTTAATTTATAACAGCTGTATTAGATATAAATGGATTAAAAATGTTGTGAAAAATATGTGAAGAACAAAATTAGTGTAGCAAAATCCTCACCAGAAAGCAGAACCAGTACCAGCACCAAAATCCAATACTCTAGTTGGTGAAAAACCAGGTAGCCTTCTTTTAACCTAGAATAAGAAAGTTAAGATTTTAATTTTATGATGATTTTAAACCTTAATTATCACATGAAGAAAGTAAGGTGTGTAACTAATCACACAAAAGAAAAAAAGAGCAACAGATAAGTGGCCAGTGTTTCCAATTGTGTGGCTTCTTTTAGAAGCAAACAAAATGTTTATATGAAACTGTTGCAACGTGTCTAACTTTCTATACTTTTATGTATGTTTTATGAAAACAAAAAATATATATAAGAACAAAGAGAGCAAAAGATATAAAACAAAAAACAAAAAAGGAATTTGAAATAGAAAAAGCAACATTGTGGAGTCTTTAAATTTTAAGATGGATAAAAAAGTATGAACAAAATGAAGATGAATACCTCAGTGAGGACTCTATGGCAAGCTGAGAAAACAGCAGGCATCCGAGAAGCAACATAAGCAATTGTTTGGTCATCTCTGTATTTAAGACCAATATCACCATAGCTGCTCTTAATTTTCCATCTCTTTGAACACCCAACATACTTAAGAGGATCTTCAATTAGCTCCCTAGCAGTTGATGCAGCTAACTGCAAATTAACATCCTTGATAGAATTGAAGGATTCTGACAACCTCAGCACCTTCCTCTTCATGTGTTGATCTTCTTGATCTGCAATTTCCACCCCAAAATGACATTTCTTTAGTAAACAACTCTATGCATTCAGTGATATGATTTATGTAAGAGTCAATGAATTGGCATCAAATTTCAAGAGTCTTATGTGACCATAGTTTGATAAGATTTATAGTATAGTCCTAGGCACCTTCACTTTCCTTATTGCATTTGCATACGTACTTCTACACAATTTAAGCTGTAGTATATCAGTTCCTAAAATCAATAGTTTAGCTCTAGCTAGGATTTAATCCAAATTCATACTTTGGCTCTGTGAAAATGATCTGCATATACTTTTGAAACTGTTGAGATGGAAACCAGCTCCTAAACAATCACATGTTCGTGTTTGCCATATTATTGTTCGTATTAATAAAAACCGGTTAGGAATCAGCTCATTCGATGCTACAATCGACTTCTTTTCGATATCTAGATGTCATCTTATACCCTTTCAATTTTTAAAATTCGTTAATTATACCTATCAATCCAGAAAATGTTGAAATTCAATGTATTGATATAATCCTTCCATTATCCCTAAATTAGGTTACATTTTCAAGCAATTTCTCTTCTTCTTTCTCTTCTTCGTTAAGCTTTTATGTGTTTGGGTGAGAGAGATGAGGAAAATGACCTCGAATATACTTTTTGATGGCTCGTCGTAGGCGGAGGGGGACGACATAGCATCCTGTGGATTGCTTGCTTGCGGCTTTGAGGGTCTCGGCGGTGAATCTCTGGACGGTTTCCTTTACCGCGGCCGCCATTTTGCCGGCAGAAGCTCAGGATAGCGAACTCCAAAATCTGAGAAATCCAGTTCCCTCTGAGGGTTTTGTGATATGTTAGGGTTTAAGACGATATTTCATCAACTAGGAGTGTATCACGTATTCTGATTTGGTCGTTACAATCTAATCTCATCTAGCCAAATTTGTAAGTCATTATTAAAGTGAAAATTTAAGCCGTGTTCGTCAAAACTAGCGGGTAGTTTGTAACAGAAAGCGGGTAGCTTGTAGCATTTTGTTAAACGCTACATGAAGTAGCATTTGGATCTGAAACGTTTTGATTAAACTAAACGCTAGAAGCTTATAGTGTCAAACGATGATTTTTGTTTTAAACGGAGCGTTTTGTCAAACGTTAGAAGCTAGAAGCTCTCAAACGCTCCAAAACGCTCCATGCCGAACACGCCCTTAGTAATCTAATTCTAAGGCATGAGGGTGTGGTGCTCCACTCCTCATGAATCCGCAGGGTCAATTTTATATTTTTTTGGTCTAATATGTATAAAATGAAAGTACAGGGGGCTATTTGTAACAAAAAAATCGGGGGGTCACATCCCCCGCCCTAATAAAGTTCCGCCCATGCTCCCTTCGAAGGCCGCACTGCACCCTCTACCGCACCCAGAGGCGGTGTTTGTGCTTATGTGGCAAGGGGAGTGCGGTCCAGGCCGCACCCACTCCGTAAAATCGTATTTCAAAGTAGTTATATTCATTTCGGAGTTAAGATGTTTTGTAGGTATCGGGTCTGAAATCTAACAATCGTACGTTTCGGACTATGTTTTATAAAATACGATATTTCGGAATATTTATGTTCATTCCGAAGTTGGTGGTGGTTGGTAAGACTCGGGACCGGAATCTAACAGTCGTACGTTCCGGACTATAAAAAGTGTATTCCAGAACGTACGGGCATTCTGGAGTTCCGTTTCGAGTGTTAGTTTCTTGTGGAGGGCAATGTTAGCGTATCGAGGGGTTTATGCAGTATATTATTCCAGACTACACATGTTTTGGTGTAGATATAAGCAATGACATCCACTTCGTTAGGTTAATCGTGTTAGTTGCTTCCAAGTTCATGTTATACACTAATCAAATAAGTCTATCTTTTCATTGTCCTATATCAAATATAGTTATGCAAATTATTGACGATAGTGATGTCAGATATTTTCTTAGTATCGTTAGTGGTATGTCTCCTAACATAGTATAATTGTTTGTTGTTAATAATGTTATAGAAAGTGGTATTCAACGATTTTCTGAGGAAAATCGTTATGGTGGCAATGGGTCTTCCGGTGCTGGAAGTAAACAAATTTGTAATTTATTACATGACAATCAACCACGTTTATTCTTACAATGACCGTATAGATAGGGGTGATTTAAGGTATAAAGGTAAGGTTGTTGATGATGATTCTCTAACAATTGATGTTGATGAATCTGCAAATGATGAGGCAAAACTAATGTTGTTGGTTGATGATGGTAATATAGTTCCACATAGAGAGTCAGTTGAACATTTAAGAGTTTCACTGAATTTGATAGAGATGATACTTAAGGTGAAGACGGGGAAACTGGGCCCCTAAAACCCCAAAAACCACATGAGGAAAAGTTTCCTTATTATTTGTTTCGATTTTGAAAAAAAAAAAAAAAAACACAAACCACTAATTGGGGTATATATGTGTAACATATGTTTCCTTGGATGAACCGAATTAGGGTTTTAGAGGATCAAAATATTGGATTTTTGTGGAAAAAGGGGTCCTCACTACGTGAGGCATGGAGGCTCACGACAAGAGGAGGGTTGCATGAAGATTCTATTCGGGACTGAGCTCACGACGTGAGCAATAAGAGCTCACGACATGAGCAATAAGAGCTCACGACGTGAGGATCGTTGCAGCCCAAGCCTACGAAGTTTTAGGGTTTCCCACATATTTAAGCCCCTTTATCTCGGTTTTAGGGTTCACTTCTCAAACTCCACCTTCCCCTAACTCAGAAAACCCGAAACATGATCCATCTTGGTGATTTTGGATCCATTTAGTGTTTTGGTGGCTAGAAGAAGAAGAATAAGAGGTTCTAGAGTGTTGGTTCAGCAAGGAGGCTTCATCATCATCATATTGTGCACATTTTGGACCATTGTAAGTGTTCAAGATTCAATCTTTATGAGCTCAAATTGCTAGATCTAAGTTCTAAGCTCCTTTTTGCATGTTTATGTTGGATTGCATGCTTGAGATCCATAAAGTTGGCAACTTTATGGATCAATGAGTCATTCCCTATGATTTAATCTTATGGATCTGGAGTGTGGTTGTAATTTATGAATCTTGTTTGAGTTTGGGGCCATTTCTTGTCACTTTGACCTAAGATGGGTTTAGGACATGCTTGGGGCATGCATCTCCACCAAGTAATTGTGTTTTGTTGGCCTTTGAAGTCATTGTTAGCTTCTAAAAGAAGTAGAAGTGAAGGTTTAATGGATTAATGACTTAAAAGTTGGGTTTTTAGCCTCAGACTGTTCTCACGACATGAGAAGCGTTGTTGGTCCCAACGCATCCACCCATGTTTCCGCGTTACGATGATTTTGGGATTGTACTATGATAACTGTTTTCTTATAAAGTACTTTTGAATATTTAGAAAAATGATGATGTATGTTGACTTAAAATATAATTAATGTTTTGGTTGACTTAAAAATGAAATTTTTTACCTCATAATTTTTGATCGTTACATTTGAACCTTTACCATTGCCCGAGTTAGCTCAACAAAAACGTAAAGGTGCCACAGTCTACAACTATACTTCCTATGTGAAAAAATACCAATTATCCAAAAGCAAAGAAGAACTTAAGCTTAAATTAGGATTCAAATATGTTACTGAAGGCTTCCAATGTAACCACCACCACCTATATCTTTGTTTTTCCCTTCGTCACATCATCTTTCTATACTATTTTACTAACACCCATCACCAATTTTGCCTTGATATAGAACAAATTCTTTGAGGAAACCCGTCTCCTGTTTAGAATAATTTTCGGTTTTCACGGGTTTACAACAAGAAACACTCTTCTTTGACATCATGGGCTCATAAAGGACACTGTAAGCTAGGGATTTTCCCTTATTTGTGCATATGGGTTCATAAAGAAAACATGGATTCCCCAATTGACTAGCTTAGAAATCAAGAAATAAAAGGGAATTTGGAAACCCCACAGTTTTGGCATTAGAGTTGCTGACTGCTCAACTGCCTTTTTGAGAGCGAAAAGTGAGTTTATTTTGCAAACTTGCGAGGTAGGTTTAAAGACGAAACTGAAAACTGAAACTTTTGAGACAATTGGTTGGGTGGTTCGGGTGGGATGTTTATGAGGTGCAAGAAGAAGAGGGGTGAGGTGGTGTTGGATGAGTTCCACGATGATGATTCCAACCAAAATAGAAAATGATCTGGTTATGTAATATTCCTCAAAAAAGATGTTCATGAGTTCCAAAAACGAGAAATCGGACCTGATACAAAGGATAGGGAAGAGGTTTTTATTTTATTTTTTGCTAAAAGTATACATGTTGCATGGTCTACCGCTCGTTTGAGGTTAAAGGAACTAAAAATGCAGGTCATAACCCACCTTCTACCCCATAAAAAAAATTATGAACTAATTAGACCAATTCTAAAAACATTATAGAAATACAATGTCATTTCTCGTAAGTTAAAAAGTATTTGACTTAAAATTTTTTTCTTTTGAAGCTATTGTAGTTAAAAACTAAAAGAAGTTTCAAAAAATCAAGTTTTAAATATATATATATATATATATATATATATATATATATATATTTAAATATCATTTTTAAAGCTAATGAAAAAGTTATTTTGAGAAATCTTTTTGAACTTGTCAAACATTTGTATTTATTGATTGATTTAAAACTAATAAATCAATAAGTTGTTTTTAGAAAATCTCAAACACTTACTTAAATTTTATCTTTATATATTGCAACTGTTACAAATATTTTTGGATATCAATGGGTTGTTTGAGATTATTTTTTAAGCTCAAAGGTTTTTTTTTGTAAAGTTTTTTTTTACTATAGTTTTTGAAAAGACAAAAGCTAAAAGTTGTTTTTAAAAAGTATTTTGGTTTTATTTTTTGACTTTTGACTTTTGAGTATAATTTAGCTTTTGAAAGGCTAAAAGTTACAAAAAAAATCATATTTTTCTGACTTTTGAAAACTTTTTTTTTTTACAAAAAATTATTTTATAAAGAACTTTTATATTTTTCAAAACATCAGTTGCCAATCTTTGACATTTTGGAAAAATTAAAAACCAAAAAATCACCAAAGGGCTTCTAGCCTAGCGGTATTAGGTGGTGCCCTCCCTCCTTGATGTTGAGGGTTCAAGTCCTGTCATGGACATAAATGGATTTAAGTGTTACTTTAGGAGTAATTATATATTATATTTGCCGGTTAAAAAAAAACCAAAAAATCATTCCAAAATAATCCCAAACACCCTCTTAATACCCGTCTTAAGCTTTGAAAAGATATGTATTTGTATTCGGGTTATTTCCATAAAAGACCCTATATTTTGACTTTTTTTCTTTTTAGACCTAAAACTTTTTTATTTTTCGAAAAAGACCCAACTTTTACTGTTACTTGTTGTTTTAGACCTAACATGTCACCAAAAGGGAAATTAAGTATTTTTATTTCATAAAAGACCCTACATTTAGTACTTTTTCCAATTAAGACCTAAAATGTTTTTTATTTCAAGACTAGTTGTATAAAAACGTGATTATATCCTTTTAGTTTAAACATAGACATCGATTTAAACAATGTAATTATTATGCCTACATTTATTTATGATTGGACAATTCTTTGTCCACGTATATTTATACAAAAAAAGTAGTTGTAAAAGATATTTTTTCACTACACCAAGTTCATGTAGCTTAATTTCTTCAAGGCATAAAAACATACTTATATTCTTTTAGTTTAAATAATAGACAACGATTTAAATTTTGCATCTTTTGGCGTCGTATTGATTTACGCATGAAACATTTTTTTTAAACCATTACACATACAATGAAGTTGTATAGTATATTTTTTTTTCACGAGTGTAATATAAATAATAACAAAATGTTTTGTCTACATTTGGGAAAATTTACAGTTTCTAGCTCCAAAACCTTTTTTTTATATTATTGGTTTAATTAGTTTTTCGATTTCAGTTACATAAAACAATTACCAAAAGCTAGGAGTTGAATACATAGACATGTGAAGTCAAATTTCCTAACAACACAAAAGAGATTTTATATAATTTTAAGATCATAAACTCAATAACCAATTGAGTACCAAACACCTTCAAGCTTTTTTAAATTAAAATGAAATCCTAAATTTTATTTTGGTAATAAATATGATTATACTTGAGAATCAATAACCGCGATATACAAACACCATGTGTTTGGATATTTAAGTGTGCGATATCATTTTTGTTATTTGGATTTTTAACTTATGTTCAAATGGTTTCATTCCCATAATATAGTTTTATGTATTTATATGTGATGTTAAATTTTTTAAGAATGTCTTAAACTTGAATCTGATATATCTAAACAAAACTATTACGAATATTTAGGATTAATATTTTATATATGTATTTGATATAATTATAACATATTATTCAATAATGGGCCAATGCTACCAAATATTCTATGACTTTGGTTTATGAGTATGATAGTGAGTGCATTTATTAACTGTTCTAAAAAAATTAATTAAAAAATTCGACAAAAAAAAATAATATAGAAAAGTAAGAGAGGAAAATATGTCCAAACTCACGAAATAGGTATAATAGACAAACTAAAAAAAATTATTTTGTATACAGTTTGTTAAATTACATGGTATGTTTTTTTTCTACAAATAAAAAAAATTGTTATTATACTAAAAGATTCTTCATAGCCATGTGTTATCAATGTTACCAAAAAATATCAAATTAACATCAAACTTTTTATTAGCGGTAATAATAACATTTTTTTATAAACAGTATATCAAGTTTAATGATATAATATATATCCAAGATAAAGTTTAATTATATCTTTTAGACAAAAATAAAATTTTGCAATTCTTCTAGGTTATATTCGTTCAAAAGATAATAGATTAGATAACATTTTTTTAGTTTATACATGTATACTTTCTTTTTCGGTGTAGTCAAGAAGTACCTTATATATTTGGTCTTGAAGATTATAACCAATTTTAAAGTTGAGTTTATTTTGAAAAAAAAAACATTTTAGGTCTAAAATGGAAAAAACTATAAAATATAGGGTCTTTTATGAAACAAAAATACCTAATTTACTTGTTGGTGACCTGGTCTGAAATAACAGGTAACAGGTAAAAGCTAGGTCTTTTTCGAAAAAGAAAAAAATTCTAGGTCTAAAAAAAAATCAAAATATAAAGCCTTTTATGAAAATAACCATTTTTTTTTATGAAAATAACCATTTTTTTTTTATGGAAATAACCATTTGTAGTATACAGTGGTAAAAATCGTAACCCACAACATTTTTGGAAAAGAAAAAGAAAAAGAAAAAGGAGCGGGCGGTGTACGCAATGGAACAGATGTCAAAAGAATAAACCAAAGACCATAAACGAGTCAGTGAGAACCGGAGAAGGAGTGAGCTGACCTGACGATTGCCATCGTAATCCGGCGAACGTGCGCCGCCGGCCGTCCTGCCTGGCTGTCTCGTACGGCCCGATTGTTTGCTGGTTGCTGTACTGCACCAGTCCCCTGCAAAGCGCCCGATACGTGAAGAAGATGAGGTTGTTGAAGGTAGCTACTTGCAATTTGAATCAATGGGCAATGGAATTCGATTGCAATTTGAAGAACATTAAGGAATCAATAATTTGGGCTAAAGAAGCTGGTGCTGTTATTAGGCTTGGTCCGGAGCTCGAAATCACTGGCTATGGTTGTGAAGACCATTTCTTAGAACTCGACACCATCTCTCACGCGTAAGATTTTCCTTTACTTTCAATTAAATTCCATTACTCGTATTCGCTTTCAAGTCAATTGCATCATCTTCTAGTCGAATTGAACCGTTGATGCCTGTGAATAGTGAATACTAGGTTGTGCCTAATTTTAATAATCACATTATTTATAATCCCTTTCAGGTGGGAGTGCTTAAAAGACCTGCTTCTTGGTGATTGGACAGATGGCATATTATGTAGTTTTGGGATGCCTGTTATCAAAGGTTCTGAGCGTTACAATTGTCAAGTGTTATGTATGAACAGAAAGATAATCATGATACGAGCAAAGATGTGGCTTGCAAATGATGGAAACTATAGGGAACTTCGGTGGTTTACTGCATGGAAACAAAAAGACAAGCTTGAAGAATTTCAACTTCCAAGTGACATTTCTGAGGCTTTGCTGCAAAGAACAGTCCCTTTTGGCTATGGCTTCATGCAGTTTTTAGACACGTAAGTTAAAACCTTTCTGTTTCATGGCTTCGAATCAGGGTAGTGGAGTAGTGTAGCTGTATAGGTACTACGGTTTTGTTGTTGTTATGCCATTGTTTCTGATAATCAAACTTTTTCTTGTCTTAATCAGAGCTGTTGCAGCTGAAATTTGTGAAGAGCTTTTTGCTCCAATTCCTCCTCATGCTGAACTTGCACTAAATGGTGTTGAAGTGTTTATGAATGCTAGTGGAAGTCATCACCAACTAAGAAAGCTTGACATTCGTATCCGAGCTTTTATAGGTGCTACACACACTCGTGGTGGAGTTTACATGTATAGTAATCATCAAGGTTGTGATGGAGGTCGTCTTTATTATGGTATGTTTTCAATGATCATACCCCTCTCTCTCTCTCTCTCTCTCTCACACACACACACACACACAGAGACACACTCAAGCGTGAAAGATTCATTATATTGCAGATGGTTGTGCATGTGTTGTTGTTAATGGAGATGTAGTTGAACAAGGTTCACAATTCTCCTTGAAGGATGTAGAGGTGGTGGTTGCTCAAATAGATCTAGATGCGGTATGTTCTATATTTAATGAGTCTGCATATTTGCTTCATGTCATTGTTCACTAATCTCTTAATGAGTCTACATATTTGCTTCATGGCAGGTTGCTAGTCTTAGAGGATCTATAAGTAGTTTTCAAGAACAGGCAAGTTGTAAACGATTTGTTTCCTTTGTAGATGTGCCATACAAGCTTTGTCAGCCTTTTAACCTCCAAATGTCTCTTTCAAGTCCATTGAAGGTAAGTGTGCTTAGGTTCTAAAGATTCCTTTCCTTGCAGTTAGGCTCCATTGCTTTTGATTTCTCGTCTATGTAAAAGACGTGAATACCCTTCATCATTGAATCAGCCACCTCCATTATGTTGCAGATTAGTTACCACTCTCCTGAAGAAGAGATAGCTTTTGGACCTGGTTGTTGGCTTTGGGATTACCTAAGAAGAAGTGGGGCTTCTGGTTTTCTTCTTCCACTCTCTGGTGGAGCCGATAGCTCTTCAGTCGCTGGTATTGTTGGATGTATGTGCCAACTTGTAGTAAAAGGTCATTTTTACCCCCATACTTCCAAATTACTTCCCTTCCTTCTTAAATTCTTGCACAAACAACAATAATCTTAATTGGATCTAAAAAGGTCTCTCAGTAGTCCCAATTTGTCACACAGGACAAGACATGACAGAACAAGTTATACTGCGCATGACTTAACCGAGACTAGGACTTTGACTTTCGCACAAAAGACATAAATGCCCTCCTCATGTCCCTTAACAAAAAAAAAAAAGACTTTTGTGGTCAAATTTAATCTATATCTTAATATAGAGATTGCAAATGGTGATGAACAAGTCAAGGCTGATGCTATAAGAATCGGACATTACACCAATGGACAATTCCCTACAGACAGCAAAGAATTTGCAAAACGTGTATTTTACACTGTTTTTATGGGATCTGAAAACAGGCAAGTCCTTTCTTTCTAATATTACATACTGAATCTTTTTTTTATGGACTTAATGAGAACATGACTTAATCTGGTAAGCTATATATGCATGTTACCTTTTGACTTGATAAAGAAAGCCAGAGAAATCAGGCTTTCCTGAATAAGTCGTAATTTTTACCAATTTACCCTTACCATCTTGTGTAATAAGCTTACAGTTCTGATGCCACACGTTCACGAGCCAAGGTGCTTTCTGAAGAAATTGGATCATGGCATCTTGATGTTTCTATAGACAGTGTGGTATCTGCATTCCTATCTTTATTTCAAACACTTACAGGGAAGCGTCCTCGCTACAAGGTAAAATAAATAAATAAAATAAACAAGTGTGTTTTATACTTTTATATGAAAATCATTTTCTTTTTTCTTACAGGTAGATGGGGGATCAAACATTGAAAACTTAGGGCTCCAAAACATACAAGCTCGAATCAGAATGGTTTTGGCCTTTATGATGGCTTCCTTGTTGCCATGGGTTCATAGCAAACCAGGGTTTTATCTTGTGTTGGGTAGCTCAAATGTGGATGAAGGGTTACGTGGTTACCTAACTAAGGTATTATAATAATATATTAATAATAATATTTCATTATTTATTTATTATTATTATTATTTTTTGTGTAGTATGATTGCAGTTCTGCGGATATAAATCCAATCGGAAGCATAAGCAAGCAGGACCTGCGAATATTTCTTCGGTGGGCCGCCACACATCTTGGTTTCTCGTCTTTAGCAGAAATCGAGGCTGCCCCACCAACCGCTGAGCTGGAGCCTATACGCTCCAATTACAGCCAGGTATTTAAATTTAACAACACTTTTTACTTTTAAACCCTTAAAAAAAAAATTAACTTTTCTAACTCATGTTCTCTTTTTCAGCTCGATGAAGTTGACATGGGAATGACATATGAGGAACTTTCCGTATATGGAAGGTTAAGGAAGATTTTCAGATGCGGGCCCGTGTCCATGTTCAAGGTTTGTCTTACATCTCCATCATGACAAAACATGTTGTACTGTTTTTTGCATGCATTGGACTCAGACTGATACTAATACTGATACAGAATCTATGTTTTGGTTGGGGTTCAAAACTAAGTCCATCGGAAGTAGCCGAGAAAGTAAAGCACTTTTTCAAATACTATTCCATCAACCGACACAAGATGACTGTATTAACACCCTCCTATCATGCCGAGGTATTGTTTTTTTTTTTTTTTTGTTATAAAATTTTGTACACATTAATTAATGATAATGATAGTAATAATAATAATACCGATTTTGCCCTTGTGTGTACGCGTACAGAGCTATTCACCAGAAGATAACAGATTTGACCTCCGACAGTTTCTCTATAACTCAAGATGGCCATATCAGTTTCGAAAAATAGATGAACTTGTGAAGGAACTTAGTGTTGATAAAGATGCATCATCATCATCTACTTCAGATGGTGTAGGAATTGTGGCAGCTGGTTCAGCTGATCCAAAGGCTGGCCTTTAAAATTTCATAGTGATTAATCAAAGTTAACTTTATACTTTTTTTTTAAAAAAAAATTGTGAGTTTTATTGATTTTGTTAATGAATTACCCGAAAGGATTAGTTCACTGGTCTATGGTGAAAGTACCTAGGTTCATAATCGTATACTTCTTGATACAATACAGGAGAATTTTAATTTTAATAAATTAATGAAATAGTTGTGTTTCAAGTTTTTTAATGGATGTACTCGGATAATAACATTCGTAATATAATCTCAAGCATTTCTCCTTATGTTGGGAGGCACTGAAAGGTTGATTGTGTTTCAAGGTTATGAGTAGGCTGAAACCATTCACGAAATCCATAAGCATGTGAAAGGGTTTACATAAGAATGAGGTAAGGGTTTGACAAGTGGGGTACAATGGGGTTTACATAAGAATGAGGTAAGGGTTTGACAAGTGGGGTACAATGTTTGAGGCAGTGATGAAAATTTATAAAATTAAGAACCATATAGAGGGAAAAAAAAGTTTTATACTAAGAATGATGTATGTTTTAATAAACCACATGAACAATTTATGTAATTCACTCTTTAAATTAGGTTTGTTCTTGTATAAATATTTTACTAGATTATAACCCGCGTTAAACGCGGGGGAACGTATTAAAAAAATTATCAAAACATTTATATATATTGCATAATAATTATAAAAGAAAGTTTATAACTATTGGTATTATTGAAAGGTGAAGAAGAAACACTGAAATCGATAAATAACTATAAACATTGCAGGACCTCTTTGTAGACAACGTTTTTTGTTTTCTTAATTGAACGACCTTCCTCGTCACATATGAGTACCTTCAAACATTTTTTGCTTGTTACACGAGAAATAGCTACATATAACTGATCATGGGTGAAGACAGGTCTACGCAAGTATAATCCAACATTTGATAATGACTGTCCTTGACTTTTGTTAATGGTCATAGCGAAACAAACTGCTATTTGGAATTGCTTATCGTTGAAAACGGAATGAAATTTTTTTATCGGATGGGGTCAACTTCATGCGATGTATATAACTAGTCTCGTTAAAAAATCTACCAGATATGATTCGTGCTTCAATGACGTGTCTTCCAAGCCTTACGATTTGTAATCTAGTTCCATTGCATAGTCCTCTGGTTTGGTCGATATTACGAAGCAACATGACCGGAACACCTTTTTTTAGTATAAGTTTATGGTTGGGAATTCTAGAGGCCTGAAAAGCGTTCAACACATCCGGAGAGTATACTGATACCTTAAAAGAATCTTCTGTCTCGGTCTCATATAAGGAATCTAAACTCAGATATGTTTTCCCTTCATCTTTCATCAATTCTAACATGTAGTCGTTGATGGCATCAACTTCTTCATTAGTAGGGACCAAAATAGCTTTATCTTGAAAATACGATGGATCATCAAGATGGTTCTGAAAAGATGAATAAATGCAGGATACAATTGAATGAATATGGTCACCCGTAGAGGGAACGATCACATCTTCTGGAAATTCAACTTCAACTTCACCATCATTAGGACCACCGATAGTACCTTCACTAATTTTGAGAATCCAATCAGCAAAGGATTTTGTCTCTTCGAAATCATTGTTTGGACAACCGAACTGAAGCCTCATGTTTACAGTCAAACGTAAAATTATACATTCACACCATAATAAATATTGGTATTCATATATGTTGTATACTGTAAAATGTAAGATGAAGTACATAAAGTTGGAGAGAAGAGTAAATTCATAAATGGATATCATAACATACCATAAAAAATGATTATACAAAGAATGGAATTAAAGGATATTGGTGAAGAAAATAACGAATTAAAGTTGGTTAGCAAATATAGATAGTTTACAATTTTTTTTTCAAGTATGAATTATGGACTTTGTTTAAGTATGTGGACTTGCATTATTTTTGTATTTTTTGTTTATAATGAACTTTTATATATTTGTTTTTTGTTAGTTTTTTATATGCGTTTTGTTGACACAAATCTATTTAAATGAACACAATTACACTTTTGAATGTAAATAAAATAAACCTAATTAAAAGCTATAAATCATGGAAAAATAAGTATAAACAATGAAATGCGTACCTTTTGCCTTTGATTAACCAAGCTAACAATTGTTTACTGCTATAGAGGGCTGTAGAAAGGAAGAAATATTGATTTAGTATCGTGAATATCAATATAAACGAAGAGGTAAAAACATAGATAAAACACAATAAAAACTCATTTTTTGCAGGAGCGTGGAAGGAAAAATAAAAATGGGTTTTTGCGGAATATGTCATATATATGTATTGAATCCAAGTTGGTTTTGGAGGGATAAGATAAAAGTCATTTTTATCTTATCCCTTAAATGTTGAATTTCAAAATGTAGTTAGGATAGATAACGTAGAACATTTTAGAATTATTTTTTAAAATTTAAAATTAGGTTAATGTTGATGGTTATTTTGGAAAGAATGATAACTTTTATAACAGCCCAAGAATATATTATTTACCAAATCGGCTCCATGACTTTACATTTAATACCAAACATCCCCTACTATATATTGTGCCCAAGAATATATTATTTACCAAATCGGCTCCATGACTTTACATTTAATACCAAACAGCCCCTACTACATATTGTTTATTATGTAAGCATTTTACTTTGAAAAGTGTACAAATTAAGACATTGTATTTTCATTATCTTATTAAAGACACATTTCATTTGGAAAAGCCATGTACTTTATTCAATTATTTGTTTGTCATTCTAGATATGCTATTTTTGTTTTTTTATAGAATTGTATGTCAACATAGTTTGTTACGAACAATAAAAAAATTATTGTTATAAAATCTTGTTTGTGGAATAACAAACTCAGTGGCTTAAGCCAAAGATTAAGGATATTACCTTTAAACTTAAAACAAATTGACAATAATAGACTTGGTCAACATAGTTTGTTATTTAAACTTAAAACAAATTGACAATAATAGACTTGGTCAACATAGTTTGTAACATTAGTTGAGGCGAAAATATATCAAAACATGTAAAAGTTAAAATTCATAAAAAGAATTCAACATAATTATGAATTTGTCTCAAATAACACGACTACTATCGTGTTATAATTAAATGAAAACAAACATAATCTTCAAAATGAAAACAACTCGTACTTGTCAAAGAAATCCTTAAGCAAATAATAAAAACTCAAAGAAATATCGTCAATGAAAAATGTCAAATAATCATAACTGCTAAATTTATTCGAGTTTTTCCATTTTTGGAATCTTAAGGGTATGAGGAGCAACACCATCTTTTGAGGAAGACCATTCAAACGATTCAGTGGTGGTAATAATCTTAATAGGCCGTTTCAGTGAAGTACTTGTCGGTGTCACCGCATCAAGATCAACAACATTAATATTGTCACCTTCAATAGAAACACTCTTTTCCTGTATCAAATTAATAAAACAATGTTAATTAACAACATTAATATTGTCACCGCATCAAGAATAAATGTTTATTAACAATGTTAAAATGCTAAATGTGACATCCCCATTTTCACGGCCAGAAAAGACCGATTTTTGTTTATGCTTTATAAAAGTCAGAGTACCTCTTTTGATAAAAATGTTGCGGAATTTGTTCCCAGTAAAACATGATAAATACGTTATCAAAGCATTTCCAAAGAAAAGTATTTTTATTCATTTTAAAATATTTGGGATGTCATCGTCAATACAGAAACGTAAGCATAAACAGAACTTACATTCATTATCACTGGTGATTTATATCTCCTTAATCTCTCAGTGTAATGTGACTTCATATCAACACCAATAAACTGAGTGTGTCAGGTTGGGAAATCTGGTGAGTACATAGGGTTTTCAACCCACAATAAAATAATTATTATGTTTAAACATTTAAACAATCAACCCAATTACCCGTCCCCATTATCTTCTTTATTCTACCCTAAGAATTCAGCTATTCCTCGTTTATTTATTCCTAAGGGTTATCCTAAGGAATATGCACAAAATCCATCGTTGCCAAGGTTTACTCAACAGGCACTAAATCCATAGTTACCAAGGTTTATCTCGTTTATTGACAGTATCGTTTCCGAGACTCCTCTCGCAATACAGGTCAATGGGTTTTATCTCGTTTATCGACGGTATCGTTTCCGAGAATCCACTCGCAATACATGTCGATGGGTTTTTTTTAGAGTACACCTGGTGAATACACAGTTCAAAACACCTATAGGTTGCGAGTCTGCTAGTGTCTACTGGATTGTCTAGAATAGTCCGTGGTTGTCATCCATACTCTGCTGAATGACGGGGCCAACAAATGGGTAAAAGGCTTCTCTCATGGTTTACCTCTCACCCTTATCTCATGGTCTATATCACTTCTCATCATTTTATTTTTGTCACACAGCAACTATTTCATCTACCCATGTTTTACCCAACACATTTTGTAGATATAAAATACATATACAGTTTAAATCATTTAAAACATGTATAAAAATCTTTCACCCAGCACAGACGGCAAGTATACAGACAATATGCACACATAGCACGTAATTTATATTAAATACTTCATATCTATGTGTAAGATGAAAGGGACTATGCACTCACCTGAAAGGTGGTGACTCTGTACTTGAACAGCGCTTCGTTATCTCAAAATAATTTTCCCTTGACAAAACCTAGTATCAATACCACTAGGGTTTAGTCTAACGTTAACCGCGACTAGTTAATAGTCTAGCTATTATTACTATTATATAAGCGTTAAACGATACTTATATAACCCATAATAATAGCCCAAGTACTTATTATAAGGTCCTAATAACATTACTATATTAAAACATAAGCTATACTAAAGATAGGTTAGGCGTAGCTCACTTACAGCGGGTTTTTCTTAAAACCGGGTTTCGCTGGAGCAGCGTTTCCGAGCCGAAAGGCCCTTCTTCTTGGAGCCGTCGGGCACTCCGGGGCTTCCGCCTCGTGCTAGGGAGTTACCTTAGGATTTAAGGGGGTTTGGGGGTATTAGAGAGAGTATGGAGAAAGGAAAGAAAGAGTATGGTGTGAGAAATGAAGGAGGGGTGCGTCTCTATTTATAGGCTGAATTGGGGTCACTCACCTCGTGAGTTTTTAATATTCACCTCGTGAGCTTGCTTAGGCTCCAAGGCAAAGCCTGGTGCTGACACGTGGCATCGCACACAGGGTGGAAATCAGCCGGTTTTCCAAAATTCAT